GATCTGAGTGAATTAGCGAGATTATAATCGGAAGGGCAGATCCAATATTTTTGAAATATATATCGGATCTTTTAAATAAGTTGCTTTAACAAAATCGGAAAAATATATAGGCATTAGTTAACATTTTGACAAGTACTCCGGGCCAAAATTAAAATTCAAAGATCAAGGTGCGATCATTTCAAGCCCGAATGAAAATCTGCCTAACGTCGACCGGGTTAGAACAGCCTATGATTTGCCTGTACAAGGATATACGTTCTTATTTTGCAGCTTTCAAATAACTTATAAATTTATATTTAATCCCTATATAATTAAGATATGGAATTTCTTGCAACTGTTGGACTATAGCCGGGAGCTAGTTTTTTTTTCTAATATTTTCCCTACGTTTTATTAGCAACAAGATAAATTTTGCATATTGAAAATGTTGTTGAAAGAGGATTGATTCTAAAATGATATAATTATGGCATGAAGAATGTGATCGCACTTACTTTAAATCGTGAATTCGCCAAGGGAAAAATATTTATGCAGTTCAACGGGCCTTAAAAGTATTTCCTACCAGAGATCTAATCTAAATCCATCATGTATGAAAAGAATTAAAGTCTCAAAGAAAATATAAATAGAAAAAAATAATCGGTTATGACCTTTTCAAATTTCTAAATGAATTTGAAACAAAAAATTAACGAAAGTGACCTTTTATTTCGCCAGAAAAATCACGCTAATGATATCAGAGGAAGAAGAGATTGATTGTTGCACAAAAAAAAGGAAGGATCGATTCTAAGGCTACATTTATAGTAAACGCGTTATATTCAAGCGTTGCGTTATTACAAAATAAAGCCAATAAATAGCTATGATAACGCTATGATGAAATTTGAAAAACATATGTTGCGAGCAAATTCGATAAAAAAAAAGCTTTATTAAAAAACTGAATCACTGTGATAACGCTGCGTTAAATAACGCGCTTCTTGAAAATAACTCGTTTACTATAAATATGTATTTCGTTAATTATATTTATATATTTTTGATATAATTCAGTAATTGCTATTTGATGAATAATAGATCTCAAAGGATGTTAAAGGTATAATTTATGAGTAAAGAAAATATTTTAAAAAAAGGACGAGCCTCCCGTTATGATTCCAATAAGATTACTTTTCGAGTCCACGTTTAAAAGAAGAAGATGATGGTTATGAGTCATTTTTTATCCCAAATTTTAGCATTATAAATCACAATTTAAAAAAAATAAATTCTAAATAATTTTAGGGTATAACTAAGTTTGATGTTATTTAATAAAATAATAAATTGCATCAATTAACAAATATTGAAGTTATATTAAAGATTTTAAAATGAAACATCCACAAAAACAGCATTTAGGCAAAAAAAACTATTTCCAAATATTTTTGCTTAACTGCATTTACAAGTTGCGCAACCATACTTATCATTTTCAAATCCATTTTCGCATTTGTTAGAACATCTGGGTGCGCTACAAACTACAAAAAACAAAATAAGGTAGATTATAATTTAAACGGAAAAATATATTTTGCTATAAAAGTATATTTCAACATTTTAATAAAGAAAATTTGTTAAAATATTTACCGCAATCGCATGTTTGACAGCCCTGTTGGTCAAATTGGTAGCCTTTAGGACATACCGTGCATTTTCTTAGTGGACATACTATATATTTCAGATGCCACACGAATATAAAATAAAATTTTATCAAATAAATTGGTAAAAGTAACATTTTAGCAAAATAATAAGAAATAGAAATCATAATGTAAAAGAGTCCGAAATTATTTCTCGGAGCTAGCCGGCCAGTGATACACTGGTTAAAGAAAATATATGTTTTGTCTTACTAGGCCTGTGTTATGATCCATTTATTTTATATGAGAACAAATATAAATACATGAAACATTTAGAATAGATTAAATTAAATACAGTCGATTTTTTTATAATCAAAGGCCAAGACGGTCAACGATTATTAGGCCTCCTTCTCGTAAAACTTATATTATATAACCTCGCAATCTTTTAACACCTGATGTGACTGCCTGACCACTATCCTCTGGCCATAGATAAATCCTTCATTTGTGATAATACACATACAGTGTTATTAAATTAAAACCCATCCAAATTAAAAACTTTGCAAAAATAATTTTCATTAAATCATCACAACACTGTATCTCATCCTTACCCACTATAGTAACTTTCTTAATCTAGCAAACTAAAAAAAATTACAAATATATAAATCTCAGCAATTGTATATTCCCAATTGCAACTTCTACCATCGGACAGTTTGCTCCTATCACCTTCGGTTTTAAAAAAAAATTAGCTCACAAAGTCAAATTAAGAACAATTGACTCTAGGGTTTTTATTCTATAGGTAGAAACATACTACTATTTGAAATTTAACATTGTTTCTTTTTAGGGAATACAATTATGTTTTACTAAAATTATTTTGATTCTTAATATTTTTATTAGCTCTTTTTTTAAACCGGCTAACTCAATATTTTAGCTAGAAAAATATAGTCTAAACCTCGAGATTTCGATATTAGACATCCAAACCTTTTTGCCATCTATGACCAAAATCTGCGTTTTTTTAAATATAAAAATCGGATTTTGCCGGAAATGTATTCCAGCATGTTTTGTATCTTATGAATTGTAGAAAATTTTACAGTTAACTTTTGAATCATTTATAATTTATGTGAAAAATCTATGGAAAAACTAATAAGTTTAAAAGTTTATGACAAAGTTAACTGAAATTCATAGGGTAGGTATTTTAAACATGATGAACTACATTTCAAGTAAAATCTGATTTTTAAATTTAAAAAAACGCACTCGAAAAAGGATTTCTAGTTTAAAAAAATAAAATATTGTCGGAAAAAACACATTACAGCTAACATATATTTATTTATTAATTAAAGATACTCAATTATTTAATTAATTTGCTCGGAAACCGGAGAAGTTTTTATCAACAATATTATTTTTTTTACATTTCTAGATTTTGGCCAAATTTATTACCCATTCTAGATTTTTGTGTAACAAGTATGGAATTTATTTATGAGTAACAGTTTTTTGAGAATTTAATCAAATATACCGCAATCACATGTTTGACAACCTTGTTTATCAAATTTGTAACCGTTAGGACATGGCTTGCACTTTTTCAGGGGACATACTAAATATTATTTTATATCACCAAATAATAATATAATAAATTTTAATACACAATCGGTAGAGTTGTAACATTTCGGGAAAAAATAAAATAGTTACAGTATAATTTGTCTGATTTTGTCTCTTGATAATTCAGTCAACAACCTAATCTTACTAAAATTTGTAGTCCCAATCAATTTTTAATAACTACTATATATATAAAATGATGAGATAAATTGATGTCAAATTTGGACAAAAATCTTGGTCCTAGGTACCCAAATTAGAGAGCATTTACTGTATATAAAAAAATACCAAAATTACACAGGTTGTACAGTTTATAATAATATAATGTTAACGTCAATGTTTTTTTCCGGAAATGTGTTTCATAGAGTAAGTATTTCAAGATACAATATATCTTTGATAAATCAGAATTAAAAATATAAAATAACGCACTCAAAAATGATTATAAGTTGGAAAAGTAAAACAGCCGGAAATAACATTGCCGCCATTATTTATTAATTAAAGATACTTAATTATCAAATTCGAATTTTTGCCCAGAAACTGAATGTGTTAATCACCAATATTTTTTTTATTTCTAGATTTTGGCCAAAACTTTTATTACCCATTACTGGATTTTGGTAATAAGTATGAAATTTATTAATAATTATACAAATATGAGTAATATTTTTTTTTGAGAATTTAATCAAATATACCGCAATCACATGTTTGACAACCTTGTTCATCAAATTTGTAACCGTTAGGACATGGCTTGCACTTTCTCAGGGGACATACTAAATTTAATTTTATATCATCATTTAATAAATATAATAATTTACTAACAATTCAATCGGTAGATCAGCAAAAAATATAATTTAAATATCTTTAGATTGAAAGTATTAATTTTTTGTCTCGATGGGTATGACTTGGTCTGGTGGGTGGGTGGAAGAGGGGGGGTGTAAAATATAATTTTTTTTGATATGGGTATCAAATAAAAGGTAAAAATATTTTTTTATTGTAATAATAATAATCACTCATAGAGGGCGTGTCTAGATGGGGGTCAGGAATATTTTTATCAACACAAAATGACCTAGACCCGCCCTCTATGTGTGATTTTATTATTACAATAAAATAATATTTTAATTACCTTTTATTTAATACCCATATCAAAAAAATAATAATTTTTTACACCCCCCCCCCCTCCATCCACTCACCAGACCAAGTCATACCCATCAAGCCGAAAAATGAATACTTTCAATTTAAAGATATTTAACTTAGCTTTTATTTAATACCCATATCGATATTTTGTGTTAATAAAAATATTCCTGACCCCCCAAGATATAGACCAGCCATTTATATGTGATTATTATTATCACAATAAAAAAATATTATAATTACCTTTTATTTGATAATATCAAAAAAAATTATTCTTTACATCCACCCCTCCATCTACCCGCCAGTCCAAGTCATACCCATCAAGACCAAGAATGAAGACTTTAAGTCAAAAAATGTTAAAATTAGTTATTATTTGATACACTTATCGATATTTTATTTTGATATAAATATTTCTGACCCCCCAGACCTAGACTCGCCCATTAAGGGGGAGAGATTGACCTCAATAGATCTTTTGATTAGCTATCAATTGATACCCTATATTAGACAAATCTTATTTCATAAGGCCAAAAAACAACAAAATAATAAATAAAAATTTTAAAAAAATAAAGCGAAACGCGCGCACGCTTTTTAAAATAAGATTCTTCTATATCATGGCTCAAACGTGACAATACCGTATAGTTCTTTATCCTTTAAAAATTTGAATTCAATACCTTTAAAACCCGTGATGATCCGGGATAGTTCTGATCTCTTAAAAAATTACCACATATACAATAAAACTTGCCTAATTTGAGAGTTTTAATCATTAGGGGTATTCACTAATTTGACCAAAATTATGGGTCTAAATAAAATTCTTGTTAACTACTACTGGAAAATAAAATATTATGAAAAGTTGTGAGACTCTAAGCTTAGCAAACCAGGTGATCCCAACGATATCCAAATTAGACAGATCATACAGTTTATCCTTATAATAATATATGTCAGCGTCAATGTGTTTATTCCGGTAATATGAATCATATTAAATTTAAATGTTCATTGTTCATGACAAAACTATCTAAAATTCATATGGTAGGCATCTCAAACATGTTGAACTATATTTTTTTTCTGTAAAATTAGATTTTTAAATTTAAAAAACGCACTCAAAAAATGATTTAGAGTTGAAAAAATAAAATATTGCGGAAGAGAACACATTGCCGCTAATATATATTTATCTATTAATTAGAAATACTCAATCATATAATTACAATTATTGCTCAGGAACTGGAAGTGTTTATCAACAATCATTTTTATATTTCTAAAATCAATTTACTACTCATTCTATTGGTGTAACTAGTATTAAATTTATTAATTATTTGCAAATACGAGTATAATAATTTTTTTTTGATAAATTAATCAAATATACCGCAATCACATGTTTGACAACTTTGTTCATCAAATTTATAACCGTTAGGACAAGGCTTGCACTTTCTCAGGGGACATACTAAATATTATTTTATATCACCATTAATTTAATATATATAATCTCCATAATCACATGATGATCGTTTTCGTATCTTCGTAATGTATTTAAAATTTAAGGAGTCTATATAGTGTAATGTTAATTTAATAAAAATTTTTTTTTTTGCCATTCTGAGATTCGAACCTGCGACTTCACGATTGGAAGGCAACTTTCAATGCAGCCCCCCTCACCTTTTTATTTTACTATAATTCTTCATATATATTTAATTTAAAATAACAATCATTTTTTATTTTTTAAATTTTGTCGTTAATTTTCATTTATTATTGGATAAGAAAATCAAATTATGGTAAGTAATAATTTACTGTCCAATTATTTTATTGTAATCTACTTACTAATATAGTTTGTAAAGCAAAGACATTTATTACAGAGACCTGTCTTGTAGGTAAAATTTTGCACATATTGGAATTATATGAAAATATTCAAATTGTGGTAAACATTTTGCTGTTAAATTATTTTATTGTAATATATTTACATTAGTTGGTAAAGCCAATTAATACAGAGACCTGTAGGTAAAATTTTGCACATATTGGAATTATCAAAAATAGCGTTACGCTCTCATGTCACACTTTTCATGTCCAACTTTATAATATATATTTAAAAAATCGTTAAATTTGAAAAGTGCCTGTTGCCCAATCGGGCAAGAACTTCACTTACAAATCTAGACTTGGGTTCGAATCCCGGCAATTTTTTTTTTCTTAATCTAGCAAAATTAATCAAATAGATACGATACAAAGAGTACGAGATTTATTTAAATACTTTTTTAATTCTTGAATTTATGTATAATTTTAAATTTAAACCATTATATGGGAATCAAAATTTTCTCTTTTATTTGATAAGGGATGAATCAGAAATTTTCCTATCTTATGAGGTTTTATTTAAAAATTTATATTTATTTAGGGTTATTCTAAAATTTTCTATTATTTTTATAAAATATGTTAATAAAGTATATATTTAGTCATTTTAATTTATGTGTACAATTAAAAAGTCTTTTAAAATAAATTTTTATTCATTTGTATTTTAAATCTAAAAATTTATTCTTGCAGATGAGAGTTTTATGTTAAAACCCTTAAGAAGGATCCATTCCACATTGAATTTTATACAACTTTATATCTCTTAATTAGGTAATTTTTATGCATAATTAAATACTTGCATCTCTCTTATCTTTTCTGAAATTGGCCTTTCTACATGCATCCCATAGTTTTTTTATTTTCTCATAACTTCATAATTTAATTGTAGAATGTATATTTTTCAAAACTTATAACATTTTTGATTAAATGTATAACTTTTTTGTTTAACTTATATATAATTTGACTATGATTAAAGGTAACCTCCTATTATTTGTTAACTTAGAATATCTTTTTATTTTTTCTATTGTAATTTAATAACAAAGTCTTAAATTTATATTTTGTAACTAAGTAATAAATCATTTGGAAGGGTGGTGGTTTGTTTAAAATTTAAATTAAAATGAACATTTTATTAGCATGGTATTTTAATATGTATTCATAATTTTCATATAAATACCAGGCAGGAGCTAACCAGTAGAATGATAGGTAAATCAGATATTTCCCCATTTGATCCTAATTTTGGAAAAATTTCCCAATAATAAAAATGGCAAAAAAATTATATACATATTAGACAGATTTAATTCTTATAAACCTCTACATCACACCTATTTTTCTGGATTCAAGGAAAAAATAAATTATTCTGGGTTTTCCTGGGTTAGGGAAATATTTTTCACAATTAATATGGACTTGGAAGTAGCTGGGAAACACTTTTTAAAATTAATATAGTCTTAGATTCCTGAAATTATTTTAATTTTAAATATGGGTTAGAAGGAGACATGGCCAGGCCTGATCAAATACCAAGGCCCATGCAATGCAACTTTCATATTCTGATTGTATTTTTAAATGCATTGTGACTTTTTATATATTTTATTTCAGTTCTCAACTATCAAAATTATTATGGTCTTTTTGAAAAAATTTTCTCAAGTGCATGGACCTGGCTTGTGATTTTTTTGTATAGGTGTTATATTTAACACAGAATATTTATATGGCCCTCAGGTAAAAGCTAATTTAAATATATTTTAAAAAAAATAGTATTCATTCTCAGTCTTAATGGGTTGGCCTTTGTCTGTTAAAATAGAATAAAAAATAGATATGGTTTTTAGAGATTTACCCAGGTTGGGAAAAAATTTTGAAAATTACTATGGGTTGGCTAGGCTTGGGATTTTTTTTTATAAAATTTTTATAGGTTGGGCTTTGTTTGAAAAATATGTTTATAAATTTTATTAGGCTGGGCTTGGGGAAAATTTTTCAAAAATTTTATGAGCTAGAATGCTTGAGAATTTTTTTATTATTAACTATGAGTCAGACATTGGCCTAAAAAATTTTTGATTCAGGCCTGGGCTCGGCCTGATCAAATAACCTAGGCCCATGAAAATTTGATTTTGATTGTATTTTTAACATTGATTATTTAAATATTTTATTTCAGTTCTCAACTATCAATATTATTATATTCACTGGGCTTAGAATTTTTCAAAATTATTATGGCTTTGTACTTTGCCTGGGGATTTTTTTAATATTAAATATTAGGTATAAATGATCAGAAATATTTATCAAATAATATTGTAAAAGCTTTAAATTTAATTTTAACAAACCATACTATTTACACTTAGTTTTAATGGATTAAACCTGGCATGAAGAGGGGGGGGGGGAGGGATTAAAGAATAATAATTGGATATTATTTTCAAATAAGAGGTAACAACTATCATAAAAGTAAGAAAAAAATTCTCATTCCCCGTCATTTTTGACGGGCTATCTTCTAGTAATATAATAAATTACAATCATTTCAATCGGTAGAGTAGTAACATTTCGGCAAAAAAATATAATAAGAGTTGCAGTAAAACTTTTCTAATTTTGGCTCTTGATAATTCGGTCAACAACCTAATTTTACCAAAATTTGTCCCAATCAATTTCCTATTAACTACTATATATTAGCAAATGACCTGATAGATTACTATCTATTGGACAAAAATCTTGTCCTAGAGGACCCAAATTAAAGAGGTTTATACTGTATATATAAGAAAAAATTTGCTTACTGCATTGACAAGTTGGGCAGCCGTATTTATCCATTTCAACTCCATTTTGGCAAGGAAAAGGACAAGGGGGTGGGAAACAAACTAAAAAATATATATATTAGGATATAATTATTATCAAAATATTACATAACCTTTTTATATGATTAAATAATTATACAGTAAAACTTGCCTAATTTGAGCTCTTAATAATTAGGGCAATTCACTAATATGACCAAAATTTTGAATCCCAATAAAATTCTTATTAATTAATATTAGAAAATATAAAGGTTTTAATAAATTACGAAACTGTTCAAAGAAGTAATCAAGATCTTTATGGTGTCCATGCTAAACACGTTTTACTGTATTTAATATTATACAATCAAAAAATTGTTTGCAAACTAAATATGATATATTTTTTGGATAAAAAAAAGATAAAAAAATTGTGTAATAAAGTTATTTTTAGCCATTTTAGCCAATTATAAGCTGGCTAAAACTTAAAACGTTTTTATTTATTATTTTTTGTTTTGAGAAAATTATATACTATAAAATTTTATGAAATTTATTTACGGTAATAGATTTGAAAGATGCATATTTACAATTACCAATAAAAGAGAGTTCAAAAGAATACCTAACCATATCAACCCATATTGGTTATTTCCAATATCAATGTATGCCTTTCGGTATTTCTAGTGGGCCGACCATTCCAAAGATATATAAATAATTTATTACAATTGCCAAATGATCTGAGTATATCTTGACGATATTATCATATGGGAAAAATGATGTAGAACATTTGAATAACGTAAAAAAGTATTAATGAAATTAAAACAGGTGGGTATAAAGGCAAAATAAGCCAAAATACGCTTTTTAAATGAATCAGTTTCTTTTCTAGGTTTTGTAATAGGCAAAAATAGAATTCACCCAGCGAAAAAAAAATATGCTATTCGAAGGATACCAACTCCTAATAATTTACACCAATTACGATCTTTTTTAGGACTTGTGAATTATCACGAGAGATTTTTGCCACATTTGCATGGAATTGCCTCTCCACTGCATAAATTAACAAGTTAAATGTTGCTGGGGTTGATCAGACAGGGAATAAGAGGTATTTGATAAAATAAAACAGCCTTTGTCAACAAATAAAACGCTAATTCCATATTCGCCAAACTTGCCAATTATATTGGAATGTGACGCCTCCAACACTGGTTTTGGAGCAGTGTTGTGTCATTTAGTAAAAAAAGGTATTAGCAGACATCGCATTCGCCTCGCGAACATTATTGGAGTCAGAGAAAAATTATGCACCAATAGAAAAAGAGGCACGAGCACTTTTGTTTGGAATGGAAAAATTTTATACTTTCATATTTGGTCGAAAATTTATATTGCGAACAGATCACAAACCTTTGGAAAAATTATTTAGTGATCGGGAACTATTAAAAATATCCAATATTCGATTAACGCGTTGGGCTTGGAAAATGTCCGCATATGATTTTGATATTGAATATGTTCCAGGAAAAGAAAATAAAGTAGCTGATACTTTATCTAGGCTTCCAGTAGAAGGCATAGAATCAAATAACGATGAAAAACATGCGTTAAAAATCAGAGCTATAAATTTGCACGATATAAATATTAGTCAAGTTGAACTCCAAAAGGAGACAAGGAATAGTAGCTTGTTTAAAAAGTAGTTAAAAACATTGAACGTGGATGGGTAGATTTTGATGCGAATTAGTTTGTTTTTATAATCGTAGAGAGGAATTGTCAGTAGATCATTATGTTAATGAATGGAATGGGAAGTTGATAATTCCAACCGTTTTGAGGAAATCAATATTAACGATTATACACAGAGGGCATTCAGGAATAAATGCTATGAAATTAATTTTTAGAATGTATTGTTGGTGGCCTAATTGCGATAAAGACATTGAACAATATGTTCGTCTATGTATGCCATGTCAAAGTAACCGGTCCAATATTCTGGAGGTTTTTTTATATTCGTGAAACATATCTAATATGCCAAGGGAACGAATTTATTTGGATTTCGCGGGACCTATTGATTCGTATTCATGGTTAGTTGGAGTTGATGCACATACTAAATGGTTTGAGGTTGAGTCAATGAGAGAGACCACGTCCACGGCAATGATCAGGGCTTCAAGGAAATGGTTCGCACGGTTTGGAACACCTAGACAAATTGTATCAGATAACGGACCTCAGTTTATTACTGAAGAATTTCGAAAATTTTGTTTCGAGAAAAATATTAAATTGATACATACAAAACCGTACCATCAAAAAACGAACGGTGCGGAAAGAACAATACGAACCCTCAAGAGTCGATATTTTGCAACTAGGAAAGACATCAGGGAGCTTAAGGAAATGGGAGAAGTTTTGATAGCATATAGAATGGGTGAACATCAATCAACTGGACGTTCACCAGCAAAGTTATTATTGGGTCGAAATTTAAAAACGGGATTAAATTAAATGTTAGGGATGAAATGGAACGATCGAATATACGACAAAAAGTAGCGCACGATGATCAATTGAGGGAATTTGAGATTGCACAACCGGTATGGGTGCATTATGAAATAAATTCAGGTTGGAGAGAAGGAGTTATTAAATCCAGAACTGGTAGATATTCTTATTTGGTAGAAAGCAAGGATAGAATGGCACGAAAGCTTGCGGATCAACTTCGAAAAAGGGAGGTAGCTAAAGAAATGGAGAAGTCTTGGCCAGGGGAAGAAAATGGAGTAAATATGGAGTCAGGGAGAGAGCGAGAAAATATAAAAAATAGAGAGTCGGATAGAGTTGAGATTTTAGAAAATGTGGAAGATAACGGAAAACTAGAAACGCGGAAAAGAGCTCGGAAACCTACGAATCGGCTGATTGAGGAGTTGTAAGATCATATGTGTGGGGATATGTTATAAATGAGGTATATTATATATATTATTAATGTTATAAATATCATATACACAATCATGCATGTATAAACCAATTGTCATTATATACCATTTTATCATGTGATATATTCATAGTAAATAAAGGATCTTACCATTTCTACCATGGAGCTATATGGTATGGGATAAGATAACAACTTTTTGAAATAAGAATCACTTAGGATAATGACCCCATAAAATACTTTGAGCAGATTTTCTACTTGTAAAATCTGCCCACTACACCGTGATATGTTTACCAATTATATTTGTAAAAATACCGTCGTTCTAGGGACGCGTTATTCCCGATGATACCCAAAAGCGCGGACATAGATCTCGGAACAGCTAATATGTCCATAGCTCACTAACTATATAATTATGATAGCAGGCACTTCTACTTCGGATAACGCAAGATTTTATTGAAATATAATAAGGAATCTAGGGAGGAGGAAATTTGGATTAAAGGAGGATAGGAGATATGGTATTGCTAAATTAATTTTGATGCTCTAAATTTCTTTTTAATATAAAAATTATTAGTTGTCAAAAAAAAATTATGCGTTGTGGTAGGGGGGAGGGGTATTTCTAAGTGGGAAGATCCGATATAAAGCCTTAGCTGCCCATGATAATATTCTATTTGTAGCAAGAAAGATCTATTTTGTGTGTCAGCCTTTTTTTTGAAGAATATTTATAATTTGTTTTAAACTTATTTCCCATAACCATAAAAATTTTGCGTTTTGGGGTTGAATTCGATATTAGCTATACACCGAAGGGCTTTCCATCCTACCCAGGGTCGTTAAAAGAACGAATTTTGCTTATTCCTAAATCGCCCCCACAATATAAAAGGTAGGTAGCCCTATTTTTTTTATTTTTCAGGCTAAATGATGAGGCTATCCAATGATACAATTAGTTTAATAATATAAAATAAAATTTTATCGCAACACCTGCTATATAACCATGGTCTCCCCTTAATAAAATATATTATCCTGAAAATTGCCTTTTGACTGAAACTTTTTTAGACAGGATAGACATTTGCTATACTGCTAATAGTTAGAGTTAAGGTTATTTTAATTTTCTTCCTTACCAAAATTCAAAATAAAATGGATGAGTGCCTTTGTTGATGATAACGATTGTCAGAATAATTTTGACTTTAACTAATAAAAGGAAGTTGCCTCAATTACACGCCAAGTTACTAGAAGATAATTAGTTCTAATATTTCTTCCTCCTATAATTACATATTATATGAAAACCAAAAATACAAACAATAAAACAACTATATAAATTAGAAACCTGCAGGCTCAATCCTAAGCCCGCGGCCTATTTTAAACAAAATATTTTAAATCGCCATATTAACTACAAAAATTAAAAATAAATGGAATATATTTTAAAAAATCCGGACCCGGGCTGTGCCATGCAAAAGCAAATGTTACCTTTGCATGATATAAATAACAAATAACTATTGTTTTACTAAAATAAGCTTTTATATTTGTATTGTAAAAAAAAAGTGCTATAGATTTTTTTAAATTAAATACTTTAAACAATAAATAAAATAACGCATGGAGGTAAATACGCTAAATAAGAGACAACAAAAATAAATTTTTACAAGCTATCGAATTTTGCTTTAAAAAAATTCAAATATTATAAATTGTATAATTTAAAAAATAACATTTATTCGGTTTCTCAAACACAATAATTATAAAAATGTTATATAATTTTAATTATATATAAAAAAAGGTGAGAAATATAGTTAGGTCATTGCTTTATTTCTAATTGACTAAAAAAATGTCTGTTTTTGTCCAAAGATATCATTTTAGCCTCCATTTTTATTTTTTAAGGAAAATATAGCGTAATATTAAAATAATCAAAAATAAATTAACTCGCCTCTCAGTGAGTAACAGATTTTATTCTTCAGCAAAGCCATTACTCAATTAAATGGAAAAAAAAACATAATATTAATTTTATCATATACCGCAATCACATGTTTGGCAACCTTGTTCAAAATTTTTACATAATCATATTTTCTATAGAGTGGGTTCAAGAGATCAGCAAAATTAGGCCCTGCCCGAACCTCGGGCCTATTTTTTTTTAAAACAATCGGGTTCGGGCATGGTTAGGCTAATATTTTTTTTAAAAATTCGGGCCGGGTTGGGTCGGGCTTTGGAATTTTTTTTTAATATATCTTGTTATCAATTTTATGTTGAATTTTTAATGTAAAATAAAAATATTAGATTTTATTTATAGAAACTAGACGCCATATAACATATATCATATATTTTGAGTAATTATAAAAATTAATTTTTATATTTAAATAAATCAAGCCGGGCCGGGGCGGTAAATTTTTTTCAAAAAAAATCGGGTTCGGGCGAAGCCGAAATTACAAAGAGTAAAAATAAGACCATTTAATGCTATCCTCAACTTTTTGAATAAATTGGTTATAGAAAAGGCGGCATTATCATTAGCTTTAAAAATGAGCATATATACCCCATATGTGGCCGGGAACCTTTTCGGTAATCTTAATTAAGAGTATTAGGGTATTTTACCTCTGGTAAATAAATAAAAGAGCAAAAGGCAATATTTATCAAAATATACCAAAAATTTTATCATTTTAATTTTGTAAAATATTATTTTACCATAGAATTTTATCTATAAAAATGGTTGAAATACTATAATACATATTTCTATTAATTAATTGTAGCCCGTTATAAACTAAATTAAAAAAATACGATAAAAGTTCAATTTTTACCGCAATTGCAAGTCACACATCCATTATCATCCAATTGATAACCATTTGGGCAAAAAGGACACTTTAGTTTAATTTTAGGGCAATCTTGTGAATAGGATAAAAATTCATATAATGTATAATTTAAAAAAAAAATTTTAATTTAAGACAGAACCTATCATCACAATCGAAAATTATTTTAGACCAAACAACCCAATCTTTTTTTTATGAAACATCTGCTACTGCTACTGCATCACTCTATCTACTTAAGTGTTTATCTCTTCCATCTAATAGCTTGTTTTATGACTCACATTCCTTACACTAGATTCTTTTTGCTCCTTTTCTTGATATTTTATTAAACTTCTTTTATTGTTTTTTATAGTTTTATTATAATACAACCTATTAGGTGCATTTACTATAAAGAAAAAATTGATTGCCTAGAGCCCGACTGAATTCGTAAAAGCTGGGTTAAAAGATAAGGAAAGGAAAACATTAAGATAGTTCATGTGGTTGGAGCCACAGTGGGGTGCATCGAAGAAAAAAAGTAAAAGCATCGATAATAATTAGAAAGGTGAAAAGAGGTGATAAATAGAGATTTGGCACTTGATACAGGAAAGTATAGAGGAAATGATTGAATAAAATTCTGATCATTCTTTAATGAACGACAACAGAACTAGATAAAGAAGACTGATAATAATCATTTTAGCCAAAAATAACATTTTAATAATAATGAGAATTAATATACTGCAACGGCAGGTTCTACATCCATTTTGATCGACTTGATTGCCATTAGCACACTCCTTACATTTAAAAAGGGGACAATCTTGAAAAATATATTATATAATATTTTTTATATTTATAACTTGATTTATGCAAATTTTATCAAGATTCTGTATAGTAAGCTTTATATTTATAATCTATAAAGAGGTGAGCAAATCTTAAGGTTATTAAGGCTGACATTATTTTTGACCAAACATCATGATAATCAAACAAATAGGTTTTATTATCGATGATTTTACAATAAAATAATTCTAATAAAATATGAAATATTACCGCATTGGCAAGTTTTACATCCGTTTTCATCGACTTTATTACCATGTATACATTCTTTGCAACCTAACTGGAAGCAATCTTTTAAGATTTATATAAATTTATAAAATTTTAATGATTTTAAAAGTTTTAAAGTTCAATAATGTCAAAATATCTTTTAAATGTGCTACAAAATCTTAAATTTGTCTGACTATATATAAATATAATTATCTAACTTTCACACAATCTAATATAGCAGGCTTAATTTTAACAAAATACTTTATTTTTATATAATTATAGGTGTATATTAACTGCAACGGCAGGTTCTACATCCATTTTCATCGACTTGATAACCATTTGAACATTCCTTACTACATTTTAGCAGAGGGCAATCTTGAAAGATTTTATTTAAAAGTTATTTTTTTTAGGTTATATAGGTGATTAAATATTATAAAAGTTATATTTATCTTATTCCCAATATTAAGAGATCCATTTCAATATAATAAATCATTAGCTATTCCAGCTGATACTAAATGAATTAAAAAGAGACCCACAAAGAGCGGTTTTTTCCCATACTTCGGGTGGAGATGGGGCGAATTAATCTTTTTCAAAGTTTAGGTGAAGGACGGGTGGTTTAGATATTAATATAAAAGTATTATAAAACAAACGTTTCACCTACCATTGTCGGGAGTGGGGGTTGTTTACGCCGATGTCAGTAATAGCATTATTTATTGTTTATTTGAGTTTAAAAAAAACTTCTCAAAAGTGCAATCTGAGGCTATTATTCATATAAAATATTTATTCAAAAACACAGCTATTATAATCTATCGTATATTACAAAAAATAATTTAGGTCGATGCGCCTTTTCACTTGGTTACTTAGTTTTCCGCTTAAATAATTTACATGAAAATTCTATAAATTTTTTTTATTAAATGCAGAGTTTTATTTATAGAAATATGGAAAACCAAAAAGGCGTGACACCATTATCTTATTTATATTCAGCCATGCTTAGAAATCATTTTGATGAATGAATCATTAGTCAATGTAAGCATATATGCCATTAATCGGCATAATTACAATATTATCAGAATTATTTAGAAAAACATTTATTTATATAAAAGTGATTTGCTTGGTGGAACACGAGGCCTCAGTTATTAATCAAATTGTACGGAATGAATTTAGCGTATTAACGGATAATAAGAATCATGTTGTTTTATCAAAATCATATAAATTTAAGAATTAAATATATTTACCTACAGGTTCGCTGATTGTTGTGTAGTTTTGGCAAAAGTAGTTGGAAAGAATGGAGCAGAATATTTAAAATATCAACTTTTAGAGAATAATTTTAATGAGTAAAATTTTGTTGATTTTAAATTTTTTATACCATTTTAATTATAAAAATCAAAATGTAAAACAATACGGTTTTTTTTGAAACCTATTTTGAATATAACTATTTAACTAATTATTTTATAAATGGCCTTGAGGTATAATAAGACTAATAAAAATTACTGTAGTTTAATCTGATTTTTCATGGCGAATTATAATAAGATGTGGATCAAGTCCAAACCTTAATTTATGGCAGTTAAATATTTTATGTTTTGAGCTAGATATCTATATAGATAACCGGATATTAAAAAAATTATATTTTAAATGACATGCCAATTAATAATTTTATCAAATTTTTGAATAAATAACTTGTTTGTCATATAGTAGATGTTACTCTAAAAGACCAAACCTCAAATTATGGCATTAAATATTTTTAAGTTATGAGCTAGATAACTATAACGATAACTGGATTTTTTAAAAAAAATTGTAAATGGCATGCCAAATGACCTTATCAAATTTTTGACTTGTCGTTATATATAACTTTTTTATCATGTAGTAGAAGCATATATTATTAATTATTTAAATATAAATTTTGGTAGAAGAAAAATTTAAAATAATTAATTTTTAATATTTTGTAAAAAAAATAATTTTTTTTTTTTTCTCTTTAGCTTTCACCTTTTCTACTGGTAAGCTCCTTCAACATCTCTCTCCACTTTATGTTATTTATACAATCTCTTTTATCTATTTTATACTTCGCACTAACTTTATGGCCCCATTGAAGTTTTGGCCTACCTCTTTTACGTTTGCCCATCACTTCCAAACTCTCAACTTTATTTCCTATGTAGTTCATAGGCCTTCTCATTGTGTGCCCATACCACCTAAGTCTGTTTACCATTAACTTAGTCTTAATAGGCACTACCTTTAAGCTACTTAGTATTCTTGTACTGCGCACTTTATCCTTTCTTGTTACCCCAGCAATCATCATTCTCATCTCCATAGTTTGTAGACTTCTCTCGTCTGATTCTTTGGTTGGCCATGTTTCCGAACTATATAGAATAGTTGGTTGGACTATGGAACTGTAAATTTTTCCCTTTAATTTGTGTGGGATTCTTTTGTCAAATAGCACTCCAGATAAAGATCTCTACTTTAACCACCCTTGATTAATCTTACTCTTTATCTCTTTTTCTATTGTGCCGTTTGTTTGTATAGTGGAGCCCAAATATTTGCAGCTTTCAATTGCGGATATCTGCCATTCATTTATATCAATAATCTCTGTTTCATCTCCTCCTATCATCATATACTCCGTCTTTTCTCTATTTACTTTTAATCCATGCGTTTCTAGTATATGTATCCAACTCACTAACCTTTCTTTCATTTCATCCTTGGATTCGGCAAGTATCACAATATCATCTGCAAATATCATATTCCACGGGACTGTTTGAGGTATAGACTGTGCTAATACATCTATTACTGTAATGAAGAGAAGTGGGCTGAGAGCCGACCCTTGATAAACTCCTTCGGCTATTGTGAAGCCTGCTGAAGTACCTGTTGTGCTACGGACCATTGTTGTATGTCCCATATACATATCCTGTATTATTCTTATATATTTTTCGGGAACTTTTTTGTGGCGTAGCGCCCACCAGATAAGTTTTCTTGGGATTCTATCGAAGGCCTTTTCTAGATCGAGAAAGACCATGTGTAGTTTTTGTTCTTTTCCCTGTACTTTTCACTCATTTGCCTAATTGCATGGATAGCATCGGTTGTTGATCTAGGCATAAAGCCAAACTGTGTCTCTCCTATTTCGATTATATCTCTTAATCTTTTTTCTATTATTTTTTCGTATAGTTTCAGACAGTGTGACATTAGTTTTATGCCCCTGTAATTTTGACAATTGTGTGGATCCCCTTTATTTTTGAAGATAGGAACTAGATAGCTCTGCCTCCATTTTTGGGGAACCTCTTCATTTCCAAGTATTTTATTGTACAGATTTGTGAGGAGATGTATTCCATCATCTCCTAGTGCTTTAAGGCTTTCTATTGGAATATCGTCTGGACCACTAGCTTTGTTGTTTTTCATATGCTTGAGGCATTAGATTATTTCTTGTTCTGTTATAGGTTGTACAAGGTTTTGACAAGGGGAGTGTTCGTCGAGATGCAATATGTGGGAATTAAAGTTGAGAAGCTCCTGAAAATATTCTTTCCATATATTCATTATTTCTTTTTCCTTTATTATCAATTTCCCATCTTTATTTTTGATTACTTTCGGAGCTCCGTTTATATCCCTAGAGTTCTTTTCTCGCTGTTTGGCTAATCTGTATATTTTATTTTGCCCTTCTTTGGTATGTAGATCTTCGTACATGTCATCGTATGCCATAGATTTGGCCTTAGCCACCGCCTTTGTAGCTAATCTCTTGGATTTTTTGTATCTTGACTTGTCATCTGCATTTTTGGATTTGTACCATATTTTATAAAGCGCTTTTTTCTCCTGTATAGTGGTTTGTACCTCTTGATTACACCACCATAGTTCTTTGTATGATTTGTTGCCTCCTCTTGTCAAGCCTAGTGTCGATTTTGCAGTGTCTATTAATCTGGATGAAAGGTCTGTCCAGATTTTTTCACTGACTTGTGAGGAATTTATTGTCTCAATGTTTGCATTGATTGCAAAGGCATCTGTCATTGTTTTTAATTTGCCCCATTTGATGCATGGTTCCAGTTTTATCTTATTCTGAGTGGATTTATTTGAGATTTGTAAATCCATGATTAGTAGCTTGTGTTGCGCGGCGATATCTTCTCCTGGGATGACTTTGAGTCTATTACATCTTTTAATCTTCTGCAAGAGATTAACATGTAATCTATCTGTGTTTTCCTTGTACCACTTTCGTATGTTATTAAATGACTATCTTTTTTCCTATAGTAGGTGTTGGTTAAGGCAAGGTCGAAGGCTTGCGCAAATTTCAGTACGTGCTCTCCTTCATCATTTCTCTCTCCGTATCCAAAACCACCATGATGTCTTTTGTAGCTATCTCTTGCTTTCCCCACATGCGCATTTAAGTCACCACCAATTATGACTAGGTCTTCCTTAGGGATTTCCATCACTTCTTCATCAAGGATAGCTCTAAAGTCATCTTTTTCTTCTTCCTTGCAACCCGTTTTAGGAGCATATACTGATAGGATGTGTAGTATTGATTGACCAATGCAGAGTTTTATCTTCATTAGTCTATCAGAGATCCTGTTAACTTCTACATATTTTATGAAAAAAAAATAAAATAATATATGTTATTTATTTTATCTGGTTATGCTTGGGTTTTATCGCTTTCGGAGAAAGAAATTATTCTATTCAAAATGTTAAAAGCAGTAAAACATTCTTATATGTTAGCAAAAATGTTCCGGCAATGTGTTAACTTTAAATCCTTTTTTGAGCCAGTTTTTTTTATATTTAAGACTCCCAATTTATCAGAAATGAATACCTACTCTATGAATTTTATATAATTTTGCCATAAATTTTTGAAATTAGTATAATTTATATTAGTTTTTCCATCGATTTTTTATATTGACTCAAAAAGGTTTATGGCAAAATTGTCAACAATTCATAAGATAGATAATTGAAACATGCTGGAATACATTTCCGATAAAATCATTTTTAATTTATTTAAAAAATCGCTCAAAAAATGATTTAAAGTTAACAAAAACAACACATTTCCGGAAAAAACACATTGTATATTATTTTTTTCAAATTTAAATCAATTTTGAGCTCATTTTTTCTAAAAATCTGATTTTATTGGAAATGTATTCCTACATGCTTAGAATACCTATTCATATAAAAAAAACTAATGTAAATTTTATTAAGTTTAAAAATCCATGTGCAAAATTTCGATTATGTCAAAAAATTATTTGAAAAAATAACATATTTAATGAAAATACATATTGTCGCTAACATAATATGGGCATAGATATTGGTATTAACATAGACTGCTCAACAATTAAAAAAACGTGTTTAAAATAATCGATATTTGCAAAATAGCAACCTTGTTTTTATGATAATTTTATCTTTATTATTAAAAGGTTAAAGTGGGCAGTACAAGAATACTAAGTAGTTGAAGTGCTTATTAAGACTAAGTTAATTGTAATGTCGTGATATGTAGATAGTTAAACAATATTATTTTATTCATGCAAATATTTCCTGTTATGAGTTTGTTTAATTATATCATAATACTTATCGATATATTCAAATTTTTCTTATTATACGTTTAATTATATTATAATATTTGTCGATAAATTCAAATTTTAGTTTTGTGTAGTGTTGTTAAATGGCTCGTTTTGAGCCGAATTTTAAAAACGGCTAACTCAATATTTTATCCAGAATACTATTACGCAAGCCTGAATATTTTGTTTGTAGAAGGAACAAAGGTTTAGACATCTATTAGCAAAATCTCGAGACTTAGGCAATATTTTTCTGGCTAAAATATTGAGTTAGCCGTTTTTAAAAATCGGTTCAAAACGAGCCGTTTAACAACACTAGTTTTGTGTAATTTTCATGTTTACCAGTAGATAATATTTATGATAAACAGAAAAAAGCAAATTGAAAATAGATTTGAATATTTAGTTTTTTTTTAGTTTATAAATTGTCTAAATATATTTTTGAATAGCGATAATTGTAAATAATTTAATTTATGAGTATAAAAACTCTAATTTTTTACCTCGCCATCATTAATTTTTTTAATCTTTAATTTTTAATTTATATTAATTTTATTTTTCTTTTATTTTGATTATGTTTTTACCTTATATTTAAGTATTTAATAAAAGATTTAGTATCATTTTAGTTCTAACTTTTCTTTATTTGACAACGGTTCTAATCTCCCATTCCTAAAAATTTTATTATTTTACAATGATGTTGGAGAGTGGAGGCGACAGGGCAATTTCAACAATTCAGTCTAATTAACTCTGAAAAGAAATTTTAAATAAAGGGGGAAGGATATGTATGAAATGACTATCGACACTAAGACAA